TCAGTTGTATTTTTATTTGCTTTTCCTTTTCTAGCACACGGAATACAATCCGTGTCCTTCTCCCCCACCTCACACCACCTACTACCATACTTCTAAGTGCACCACCATGCCACTTCTTTATCACAAAAATTTATTACCAAAATTCTTTATTACAAAATCAATTTCAACACAATTACTTCAGCATAACATTCAGTCACTTCTGGGTGTATCCCCCTCCGCACTCTTTCCTTGTGCTTCTTCCAATTTGGCAAACATCTGGGTACACAAGACCCTCATCTCGTTTAGTTCTTGTCTGATAGTCGGCCGACGGCCTCGTCTTCCGCGGCGGCCACCGAATCCACGATGTGGTCCACTTGCCGCTCCTCGATAGGCCTCCTCTGATACGGTGCACGTCGAACTTGGGGGCCGCTTCCTGGCGCGAATGGGCGTACGGTACCATCGTAGGCTAAATCACTTACTTCGTTCGCCTCGGCTGCCTGTGCTAAAAAACAATACTACTCACGTTCGACGTCGTAGTAACTGCCGGCACTTGAATGATAATCGGTGGGGACTGCCCCATTCCATTTGCCCCGCTCACTGTCGGCGGGGGTGGCGGGGGTGGCTGATGATATACCGGTGGAGGTGTATACGACCACATAAACTGCCACTTCCTCTCCCATTCGCTTTTTATACCGTCACGCTTATCGTCATCCTCCGCGTGGCTTAAAACTTATGTTGCGTTCCAACAGGTCTTCCCCTTCTTTCCACATAACTTTTCATCCTCTCGGTCAATTTACGCGTTCGAGCTGACCGTCTAGGAGGAAGATCTCCTTCCGGGCCTGGCTCGCTCCTTCTCATCGCCCGCATCACCTCCTGTTCTGGCACCGGTCTTTCTTTCAATTGATCTGCATGCGCCTTCCGACTACCAGTGCCGACATGAACATTATACATACACCGACTCAACACTCCTGTCACAATTCCAGGTATCCATTTATCACCTTTTTGGTAATTGCGCAGGTACACTTGCTGACCAACCAAGAAAGTTCTTTCTTTTCTCCCTCTCTTATTGTAATCGTCTATCATTCGTCTTCTATAGGCACTGTCCCCCGCTGCCTTATTTTCCGTTTTGCGGATGTCTAATGTTGTTCGTAACTCTCTTCCCATCAACAATTCCGCAGGCGACTTCCCCGTCGCCCGATGCGGAGTTACTCGATACTCAAAAAGCAATTCTACTAACACATTTTCTGCCTTCTTCCCATCACGCAACCCCTTATACCATCCTTTCTTGAACGTTTGCACGAACCGCTCCGCTTCGCCATTTGAGTTAGGATGGTAAGGCGAGGTCAAAATCAATTCAATATTCCTTCCTTTACAAAATTCCTTGAACATCGTTGACGAAAACGGTGGCCCGTTATCGGAAACGACTTGTTCAGGGAGTCCGTGGGTGGCAAAAATCATACGTAGTTTCTCTATAGTTTTTTCTGCTGTCGTAAGCCCCATACGGATAACCTCCGGCCATTTGGACTTGGCATCCACAATTATAAGCCATTTCTCACCACCTTGCGTCTGGCAAAAATCCATATGTATTCTTTGCCAGGGTTTTACTGGTTCATCCCACAGATGTAATAAGGTTTTGGCGTTTCACAAGTTCTTGCCAGCTGAGCTATATCCTTTTCAATTCCTGGATACCAGACCTTCCTACGTGCCAAACTAATCATACGGTTTTTTCCATAATGACTACTATGCAACATCCGCAGCACTTTTTTCGAATTTAGTGGGTACAATGATTCTATTCTCCCACCAACAGACACCCCTCGTACAATGATATCGCTGCACTCTGTCTTTTTTTGGGAGCAAAAATTCGCGCTAATGGCTGATGATCTGTCAATAATGTAAATCTCCGGCCATACAGAACTGATTAAACTTTTCGACGCCGTAGACAATGCCTAATGCTTCTTTCTCTATTTGCGCATAGTTCCTTTCCTCCTTCGTCAAGGAACGGGATGCATAAGCGATGACTTTCTCTTTACCATCTTTGTACTTATGGTAAATAACTGCACCTAGGCCATAATCCGACGCGTCAGTAGCTAATATTACTGGCACGTCGGGATTATAATGTGCCAACACGTCTATTTCTGTTAACCTTTTCTTTATTCTTTCGAATACTCCTTGAAGTTCTTCATTCCAACACCACTCCACTCCTTTCTTCCTTAAAGAATTCAGCGGTGCGGCTAACGTTGACAAATTAGGTATAAACTTGCCATAATATTGGACCATTCCCAAGAAGGATTCCAAGTTCTTTAATATTTTTGGTGGAGGCATCCTCTGCATTGCCTCTATTTTATGAGGGGATGGTCTTATGCCTTGTGCATCCACTATATGGCCTAGAAATTCCATTTGTGTCTTTAAGAACTCACATTTGCTACGCTTTAAGCGAAAACCGGCTGCCTTTAATCTTTGTAAGACCTTTTCCAGTCTCTCGAGGTGGGTATCTATCATCCTGGTCCGGTGACCGTTATATCATCTAAATAAATCACTACCCCCTCTATTCCAGCCAGTGTTGTTTCCATTATCTTTTGAAAAATGGCCGGCGCCGAGGCTATTACCAAAAGCTATCCTATTATACTCAAATAAGCCTTTCTGGGTATTAACTGTAGTATATTTTCTAGATTCTTTATCTAGCTCAACTTGCATATATGCTTCTGACAAGTCTAATTTTGAGAACTTTTGTCCACCATTTAACATGTGGAACAAATCGTCTGGCTTAGGCAGCGGGTACTGGTTAATATCCAACTGCGGATTTATGTATTTTATAATCTCCGCAAATTCTGATCTTACCTCCCGGTTTCGGGACGACCACTAACGGAGTAGCCCACTCCGAATGGTCAACCTGGGTCAAGATTCCATTATCAACCAATTCTTTGAGTTTCTCTTCCACTTTAGGCCGTAAGGCCAGCGGGACCGGTCGCGCCCTAAAAAACTTCGGTACCGGCTCCGTTTTAAATTTTAAGGCTGCTTGGACGGATGTACATCTTCCTAAACCGGGTTTAAATACGCACTGGTGATCCTCTAAAATTTTAGCGAGCTTCTGGTTCACCATCGACAGGGGTTTCTCCTGCATTCCATGTACTCGCTGATAGTATGGGCCACAATCTATTTCTAAAGCTTTAATCATATCTCTTCCGCATAACGTGCGGGTAGCTCCCTCGAGCACATGTAGGTCCATCTTGGCTCGTCTGCCATTGAACTGGACCCAAACCGTGCATTTACCGCAAAAGTAAATCGGGCTGTTATTATAAGCAGTAGCCTCAATGGTTGCCTCCGTCATTGGAGGCTTACCTATCTTCCTCCACGACGCCACATCTAAAATTGATACCGAGGCTCCAGTGTCTAATTCACAGGATACGTCGGTGCCATGAATGTTTATCTTTAACATAGTTGCTGGCTCCACCTTCACCTTCTGGCACAACGACTGGTCTCCCGATCGACGCATCTTTGCGGATCGTCCGACCTCCGGAACTTGAATCCTTCCGGATTCCTGAGCCTGAAGCCTCGACTTATCCAGCTCTTCTCTACGACCTTGTCGTTCCCTATGACTCACTCTATCTACTATGTTGCTATGACTAATATCCGATTCGTCAAGGTCGGAGGTGCTGGGCTCCGCACACCAGTTAACCCGGCGGGAGACTTTCCTTGATTCTCTCAAAACATTTCGGGAGCTGAACCTTTTTGATCTACAAGCCTTGGCCATGTGTCCCGGTCGAGAGCAATTGCTACAAAACGCTGTTTGTTTCTTGAAACACTGATAAAATGCATGCCCTCGACCTCCACAACATGTGCACTGGGCTGCAGCGACCGAGCGGTTGTTTACTACTCTTAACTTCCGCTGTTGTTCTCCAACCCGGTTTTTATTTTGCATTGCTCTGGTTCGTAGAGGCGGTGAGTCCTGCTTTACCTTTGAAAACTTCTCCTTGCTGGCTTGAACCACCGAAATGCCTACTTCTTGTAACCCTTCCTTTAGGTGGGGCGCATTCTTCCCCACTCTTTCAAATGCCTCTGCCGCCTCCAGAGCTTCTTTTGACGTGAGGTTCTCCCTCTCTAGGAGCCGTTTCCTAGTTTCTACAGAGGCTAATCCTCCTATAAACACCATTGTGACCATTGCGTCACGGTGGTCTTTTATCTTCTCGAACTCACATGTCGCTGCAGCTTTCTGCAAATCCGCATAGTAGTCCTGCAGAGTTTGTCCAGGGCGTTGTGTTCGAGACATCAAGCCATACCGTTCCGCCAAGACCAGTTTCTTCGGTTGAAAATGGCTTGCCATCGTTTCACTCAGCTCCTTTAACGGCACCTGTTCTGGTTCTCTGCCCTGTAGGAGCGATTCCAACAGCTCGTAATTGCTTCCTCCAATTTCCTGCAAAAAAATCAATCTTTGTTCAATCTCATCGCTAACCTTCCTCAGTACGAGGAAGTTATTAAATAGGCGCCACCAAGTGCGCCACGGTGTACCTGGCACATAAGCGCCAGGCGCGCGTCCCCGGTAGACCTCTACTAAGGTCCCCGGTTCCGCCACCGCGGACGCCTTAATAGAAACTGTACCGTCCTGGGATATCGACATCTTAAGTCCTCTTGAATACTGGATAGATTACGGCCTCCTCTGGACTGGTGGCGGTGTCGTTCGCTTGGTTGCTGACTGCCTCCGCTGCTCCGCGTCGTTCTTCTGGAATCCATGAGTTACTGGCCTGCCAGTAGGTTGACGGTAGACGACACTGGGGGGAATAGTTTATTCCACCGAAGAGATCACTCTTATATAGTGGGGTTGTTTGTCTTGTTTCCATCCTCGTGATCTTCTCCATATCCATATTCCATATTTCCTCCTCCTTCTTCTCCACCGGTCTCCATCCAACCTAAACCATCCTCGTTCCCCTACATTAGCCATGCTTGACATGATTCAGTTACCCATGTTTGAGGTAACTGAAGTAACCGAAGCTGCCCTGGGGCATGCGCAAAGCCGAAGCACGTCCGATCTGGCACCTGAGGCAACACTGAGCCGGGCCAGTTAAAGCAACGTCGATCTGGCAAGTTAGACAACGTTGATCCTGGTTAGTACCTGGCACGTCCGATCTGGCACCTCAAGCAACGTTGAGCGCGGTTAGTCGTCACGCATACATACATATTAACAACTCGATGGAATTGGATGAAACTGTGCAAGCATAATGCTAGAAGCCTTATGGTCATGGTCATCAAAGCGGACTTCATGTATCTCGAGGTCTGCTCAAAATCTGGAGCCTAAATGGGGTGGCCACCAGAACGATGGGTATCGTGGGGCAGGACAAGAGGGGTGTACTGAGCAGGGAGAAGTGACTGTGGAATGTAGTGGTGTTCTTGATTACAGCAAGTCTCAGAGACAACACGAGGGTGACTTCACGCGAGGAAGAATCACCGGGAAACTGGAAGAAGGAAGATTTGTAACGAGTGTGGTCCAGGAGTTTGATGTTGCTCACACCATTGTTTTGTGCGCATGGGGAGCAATATGGACTGCAGCCACTGCTGCCCCTAGAAGAGTAGGTGGTGGATCACGATCAACCGCAACAGCAGGTGATTGCTACGTTTTGCAACAGGCAAGAATGGACCCACGTCAGTCACAGGCTGCAGTTGCAAAAACATTTATCAGGATTGTAAGGCATGTAATCCCAGGCTGAACAGTGGTACAGTGACCGCATAGGGATGGTCTCTCTGACCGACCAACAGTATCTGGTGTTCCTTCGAAACCCGCGCATCGGCGGAACATTTGCTAGGTGCCGGGACATTGGCGATGGACCACTGATTTGGATGATCGCGTGTTCTTCTCAGTTAAGATCAAATTGAATGTAAGTAGTGATTTTGGACTTACCCGCATGTGGCGAGAATAGGAACGTGTAATGCACCCAGGACCATCGTTCAACATGATTGTTTTGATAGTCCATTCGATATGGTGTGGGGAGGCATAAAGTTGCAAGGGCGTACTGACCCCCAACTCCTGATCGCGGAATGCTTTCTGATCGACGTTATTGTGACGCTGTACTCCTTCACTTATGTGCATCTTTTCAAGGGTGCCTTTGACCTCAACTTCAATCGTATGGAGGACAAGGTGCGAGAGCATCGAGCAGCCTAGGTGGAAAACTCTTGGAAAGCGAGGATTTCCGGCGATTGGTGAAGCCTGCCCGCTTGTCCAATAAGCACGTGTGGCATGCATTCAGGAGAGCTATTGTAGCGCATCCCATGCGCCAACAATGTCCAGCAGTTGTCAATCGCGGTCTTCAAGGAATGGATCGCTTCTCCACAAGAACTCTTAACCAACCTTGTGGCCAGTATTGGAGCACGTGGCAGAGCATGCTTTGCAGTCCGTAGTGTTCATACACCCCATCAAGAACCAGCTCCTCTCTTTTGAATGTCTACCATGAGTTGGAGAAGCCTCACCTATCGACCGCTTCAGACAGGGTATTTGCAGAAAAATGTCTTTTCCAATCGCCCCTTTGCGCTTTTCTGTTAGTAACTCTCTGCACTGTACCGCAACATTTAGTTGCATTTGCATTCACAACTATGTATGTGACAAATTTAATCGACCTAGGTTAGCTGGCCACCAGATATCATGTGAAAGTTATTGCAAACAATAAAGTTGTGATAACAATCAGTAAGATCTGACAAGAGCGCTAGAACGCAATTTTACGAATCCATAGCGCGCGTCCGCAGCAGCAGTGGGCGTTGGTTCCAAGAAATGATGTAGAGGGTGGGACGGGAACATATTTGGTGGGGGTCAGAAAGTGATAACGACTGATAAGATCTGATAAGAGGCGCTAAACACAAATTTCACGAAATTCATAGCGCGTGTTGCAGCAGCAGTGAGGCTTGGTCAAGGAAAGTGCATACGGAGGTACGTGAGGCCGACTCTACTCTAAGGAGATCTATCCAGTGTCGACCTACCCGCTTCGCGCTATGATGTCTACAATGCATTGGAACGCACTGCAGCTAGCGGAGTCAAGCGAGGAAAGAAAAGTACTGAGGACACGGGAGGTCCAGCGAAAGTACCTATCGATGAGAACCAAGCAGGATCTCAAGTCTCCATCAAAACACTTGTGGTGGGACTCAGTGATGGCCGAAGTCCTCAAGGGACGACTTGTAGCCCTGCAGAGTAGTGGTGGCCGCGACCCTTTTTGAGTGGTTTGTCGAACTCATGGCTACCCAGAAATACTGTGAATGCGAGCTGTGATGTGGTAAGGAGTGTAAGCAAGAACGCCTTAGTTATATGTTGATAATTTTGAAGTAGCTGTGGAGTGTTATTGCTCCATTCCTCATAGTCACACTCCAGACTGCCGTCCCGTCCATTTACCCCTGCAAATTCTTTGTAAGGAATTAGCATGGTTATGCCATATAATGCCTCACCCTGAACCCTACGTAGTCTCCAGTGGTGAGGGGTATGCCTTCATAATGGCTCCCCTTACGCAGGCCGGGATTTCGTACCTCTTGCCCATTCCCGCCGTAGCCATAACACAACAATATCCAAACGACGGGACCGCGCCTGCCTGGAAAGGCATAAAATGGGTCTATTTCGTGAGGAGAAACACTTACTTGTTTCCGTCGTGGAGTGGCTGAACTTCCTTCCTCTAAGCAAACTTCAGGTGCCCCCTTACAATGATCCAGCATCTAATACTGATCTTTCGTTTCAGTTATACAAAGGGTACACTCACTTTACCTCTCGTTCCACTACTTTATAAAACGAGAGGTGGTCCACGACGCATCTTCGACTCTCCCTTCACCTTCTTCTGGAGTCCTTCCAATGCTTGGTGCCTTCTACTTCCACCTCCTTCTAGTGCCTCACGGCAACACACGTTTTCGCGGACCGTGGTGAAGGACACACACGATCCGCAAGCAGCAGTCCTTGTTGTTCGTTCTCGAGGCCGGCAACTCTTTCTTCAAAGAAGGCAAAAGTCGGACTTCATACAAAATGCAATTTATATCTCTCAGTTCCTTCACTTACGGTTGCACCTGGCACCTCACCTTTCATGTCCTGGACCTCCACCTTCAAGGTGCCGTGCCTCTTCTCTCTTCCGATCTAATTTTTCATATTTCTCCTTTGAAGGAGTTCCCATGCAGGGTCAAACCGTCACGTTTGCACATTCTCGGGGTTTGTGCGACCAATTTCCCTCTCGAGGGGGTCCAGTTGCGACGACCTGTTGTTGTTAAGAGTACTCTCGAGTGTGAACTGCTGTAAATATTTTATTTCACTTCACATTTATTTATTACAATGCTATTTTATTCTTCGGAATGCAATTTTGAATTTTTTGTTTTGAAATTCGAAGTCGAGTAATCATGCAAGACGACTCATATGTTTCTTCCTTAAGTCTTATGGATCATTTCTCTGCGGATTCATCTTCCTTTTTTCAGTCTTGGATAGCCTCACAGTACAAGATTAAGGGAAATGAATCGTTTACGCACACAGCAAGTAAAAATCCACTGTCTTTGCGTGGACCGCAGCTCACCAATTGAGCTGCTGTGCACACAACGGC